TCTCTCTCTCTCTCTCTCTCTTTTTCTTTATATGGTTTTTTTGTGTTCTTGTGATTTAGGTGAGATAGGAGGGATTTTGAAGTGATTCTAGGGTTTTGGGGAAAAGGTTTGATTTTCTTGGAGAAATTGCAGATTACATTTGATAGCGCTCATCTCCCTCCAGCTATTGTTTTAGCACTTTATTTTTCTATTCCAGGATTGGTAATTTTAGAAGACTAAATTGCAAATAACCCCTTTTGTTCTTCCTCGTAATTTAGGGGTGTTAAATGCAGGCATGAAATGCTACTGAAGATATAGATGGGTGTGGTTGTCTGCAGTTTAGCCTTTCTTAAAGGGGAGATACTACTCAAATTGGGACTAGCCTTAAGCATTGGAGCTTCTTTTGTAGTATAATGGGTTATTAGTGTTGACGTGCTTTGATATGTTTCTTTTTTTGAGAAAGAACAGGGTTTTGTGTGTTTTATTGCAAATCCTGGAAGTGGGTCCTGAGCTTTTTTGGGTAAAGAGATCATTTGTTAATTTTTCATTTTTTAAGTATAATACTAGGATTTGGTCGTGACCAGTTTTAGGAGTTGGAAGCGTACAGAAAAACTGAATGTGCTCTAATTTTGGCATGGTGTGATATAATTAAAAAAAAGTTCTGAGAAACTATAATGTTGATGGTTGATGGGTTCATGAACAGTGAACTGCTGTAGAGGATAAGTCTTTATTTTCATATTCTCTTCTGGCTTGTGTATTTCCTATACTGCAGTGGGTTCTTTGTTCTTTGCTTTTGTATTTTCCTCTTAAGAATCAGGTTTTTGCTACAGCAGAAGGGTTTCGCTAAATTATAGCTCATTATTGGATTTGATAAGTTTTTAGCTAATTGGAATTATAGGAAGAAAGAAAACTCGGTTGTGGATTTTATACTTGGATACATACTGCTCCATATTAAACTGATTGGATGTAATTTAAGTTTGTATATTGTCGATTGAATTGAAGCTGGTCTTTGATGTGCTATTTGGATATGGACATGAAAACTTAAGAACTGGCATTTTGAGATGAATCAAAGTAGCTTCACAAACATATATAATAAAGTAAATAATTTGTTAATTTTGTTCGCATCATTTTATTTTTTGAATCATGTAAAGCCCTGAGGAAGATTTTAGCATGTTGCTGAAATTAACTGAAGCTAGTACTGAGATTGTACCAAGATCTATTAATGAGATGTTATAAATTTCCAACAATTATTTTCCTTTATCTTGACCATTCTCTGCAGTGTACCTTTTCCTCTTCAATTATGCACAATTGTTTTCTGATAAAGTATGTGCATTAATTTATTATATTTGTCATTTGTGCAGATACTTTTCATGAGGTGAAGAGCAAACGTGAAAAGAAAAAGGAGGCAAGCATATGTTTAAACGTTCCTCGGTTTGCACTATCATGCTAATTATACTTTATGCTTGCCGTTGATTTGCGTAATTTTTTTATACTGATTTAATTATTTCTACACTTACGAACAGGTAAAAGATTTGTATAATTTTTTTTGCTTAAGTGTATACCGGTGCATTATATATATACCACATTTACAAGCAAGAATGTGGAAAGCAGAAAGTGTAGCGAAGCGGTGAGGCATCGCTATGGCTATTTGAGGCTTTAGCGGCAAAAAGTGAGAAAAAATGAAAATAAAAAAGCTGTCTAGTTTAAATATGCATAAATATTCACCAAAAAAATAAAGAAAAATAAAAATTTCTATAAATGCATATTTTGATGATTTGTAGAGATCCTAAGCATGAAATAGATGTGTAACAATTACACAATATCATCAAAGTACCATAAAACATGAGAGAGGAGCTTTGAGGAGGAGGATGTGGTGCTTCGAAGAGAAGAGGTGGAGGCGGAGTTGGGGGAGGCAGAGGAGCTTTACGAGGAATAGAGAGGAGGATCGAAAAGCTTCGATGAAGAACATATAGGAGGTGAAACTTTGATGATGGGAGGATGATGAGAGTCGGTGGAGCATAGACAACAAGAGTCGGTGGAGCTTCAACGATGAGAGTCGGTGGTGGAGATTCGACGATCTTCGACGATGAGAGGCGAAGGCGGCGGCGACTGTGGGTGAGGTTTTTTTTTGGGTTCGAACAATGGAGGTAGAGGGAGGGGTTGGGGGTTGGGAAAAGAAATGGGTTTTAAGTTAAAAGAGGGCCGGGTACGAATAAACCCATTAACTTAAGAAATTGGGTTGAGTTCGGATTGGGTACAAACCCGATAATTTGTATTTTTAAAGCCCTGTATAGTGTTGTAAAGCACCTTTCAGAGTTTTTACGTGCTATTGATCGCTATTTCGAGTTGATAGCACGGATGCCACTAAAAATCACCGCTTTCGACCATAGCAGTATAGGAGCGTGTAGGCCGCTATTTCTACTGCGTCGCTATTTGCCGCTATTTACAACAGTGTTTACAAGAAGGGTGTATTTGGTTCTCCACTTTTCACTTTTCTTTCGTGTTATAATGGTTGCAAGAATTTCATCAATTATATAATTGCTATGCTATTTGCATTTCTTTAGCTTTTCTTTCCTCTCCTTCTCATTACCACTGTTCATTGTTGTTTCTATGACTTCATTTTGGACAGCCATTTTTTTATACGATCCAAGGTTTATGTATGATTTTGATACTTTTAAAGCAGAAACCATAATGTAAGTCTTGTGAAATTTTAGAGATGTACTCTGAAGAACTGATGTGCTTGTTCCAACTTTTCCTTTATGTGCTTTAGATCAAAGTGACTGGTGAATCCAAGTCTCAAAGAGTGAGCAGCAGTAGTTCAAGTCGTGGAGTCAGGGGTGGTGCTGACCAATCAGGACGTGGTGCTGCACAAACTCATTCTGATGGTAGTTGCATGTTGTAGCTGTGCTCTTGTCCTAGTATTTTACATTGATTATGACCCACATAACTGTGATTTTGTGTTAGATTCTGAAGTTATTCGCAGTAAGCATGCACACACAAAAGAAAATGCGGCGAGGGTCAGCCATACTTCAGCAGCTCTAGGTTCTCGAGGATCAACTAGTAACTCCAGTTGGGGCGTAGCACCCTCAAGGTCAGTACAGATATCTGAACTGTTCAAGTGACTAGATGTTAGGATGGAATTTAGTACACTAGCTGTCCGAACAATTCCTTTTTACTACTATTACATTCATATTCTTCTTCAAAGTTATGTTCTGGAGTCTGGATGAAGATTCTATTTGCATATATTGTGGACATACTTGCATCTTTTACTCCATTTCATTTTCTCTTTCCCAAAGTTTTTTGTATGTCTCAAATGAAAATTATTTAATAGAGAAGTTGCAATCTGTTTTGAAATTACTGTAGACTTGATTTTAGCTAGGATTTCTTTTTGATTCTCTTAAATTTAGTTTCCTTGAACATGCCTGCATATTTAATTCATCATAGCTTGGATGAGCGTCCTTGTGCAGTCTGATGAGAACTACTATGTTTTGAACTGCTATGTCCTTGTGCGTTGTATCGTGTTTGTTTGGACCATTTTTTTAAAAGCTTGAGTATGCTAAATAATTTTGAAATATCATGAAAATTATTTCCTTAAACAACTTATGTTATTTGAGGTATTGTCGTATAGCACATTTGTTTTGCTTTTGGTGTCATTATGATCATAAGGTACAAAGAGTGATACTTCTTTACCATCCATTCAGAACCGTTAGCAATGATTGTAATGGCGCAAATGTTAGATTATTATTATTATTTAAATTTTGAGTTTTGCGGCTACAGCTCAACTGGATAAAATAACCTCTTTAAACTGTGCTTGTGTACGAGTAGTTTGTTATCAATGAATTGAGTGAATCATACTCCACGAATATGATGATATCCATCTAGTTCAATATATAGAATGTATGAAAAAGGTGAATGGAGTGTTGGAGTATTTTCTATTGATTGGTCATGTCATATAGTCATGAGTCGGACATTAGAGTACAACATGCTATATTTTGTTGGGTTCTGTGGAGGCAACTCAACTGGATGAACAACCTTCTTTTTCTAGCTGAATTGGAAATTTGTGCTTGTCCGTTTGTAGTTTGTTATCAATGGAGTGCGCGAATTATACTGCATGAATATGATGATATCTGTATACTTAATATATGGAATGTACAAAAGCGGCGTATGGCATGTTGGAATATTTCTATTGTTCGGTCATGTCATACAGGCCCGAGTGACCGAGTCAGACATCAGAGCGCTTCAACTTTAATTATAATTAGGACTCCCTATAAAGAGTATTACAAATATATTTCTTGATCTGAAAGAAGCCCATAGAATCAAATATTGTACTCAAGTAGCAGGGATGAAACATAATCAAGCTAAAGCATATAGTCATATTTCTGTTATATGAAGTCACATCGATTTCCAGAATTGTTATCTTACTGTTATTTCCATCATCTGGAGTTTAAGTCTTACTATTTAGGTGTTTCACTTGTCTCCATCTTTGAAACTAAATATGATGCACAAAAAAATGTAATAAAAGAAAATCAAGTTATTTTGCTGGAGAATTTTTTGTTCATTGTTAGGATTATGTATACTTATGTGCATGTCCAGTCCATTTATATACCATAATTACCAGCACAAACTACGAGTTAAGGTATGATCAATCAGATTCATTAGATCCTCCTATAGTAACAGGAACTGCATCTTTTAGAGATCAATACACATTTAATAGCAGCCTTATTGTGCCAGAATATGAACCATTCTCCACATGCATAACACGACTGTTCTAGATGATGGATGATATTCTGGATAGACCTGCAAAAATCTTGATTTCATAGGGACACATTGGATGAATTTCTATACAGTTCATCAGAATCCCAGCTCTGATCGCCCACACTTATTCAATTGATTTGGAAAACAAGTTCAAAGTTCTGCATGGATGAATCATCAATAAAAGTTAGCTACCAACAATGGTCAATGGTATTTATTGGTGATAATGGACTCCCCATCTGAAGACTATCTTGTCCTTAATTTTGAATGTCACCTATTTTTTTCAAGAATTAGGCCGTGTTCTTGCATCTGCTACTCCCTCCCTCCCCCCTCTCTGATAGTCGTAGTTTCTCTTTATTCTTCAGGGATTACCTAAATTTTGGAAGTCCTTGCTGGTGCATGGCATATATGGTTTATGAACTTATCTAAGTCAGAAATGTTGGAACTATGTGCAATCTGTATGGAGCAAAGTGTCATGCTTCGTAGACATAGCTAGGATAGATTTTGAATTCGTGGGAACCACCTCTAAAAGAGTTCATAGAATTTGCCTCTAGAATGCTATATTGCCTGGGTCAAGGATGACAAGATTTATATATGGAGCGAGCTAATGTCAAAACTCCAAAGAGAATATCCAGCATGAGATATGCACAAGAAAAGTACCTTGGTACGATAGTTCATGTGAAATCAAGTATAAATTATACCTATCACTTTTTAGTTTTTAGATAGCATTGGAAAAACTCAGCAACTGACCAATGTTTAAAAAGAAAATTTTAGTATGCGGTGGAGGTTAGTTAATAATGTTGAGTAGTAGTAATTGTAGGCGTCAAAAAATGCTGAGAGATATCCGAATACAGCTAAAAAAGGCAGAAGAACATAAATATAGACTGTCTCGCAGGCGAGACAGTCTTTACTGTCTCGCCTGGCGAGACAGACTTTTACTGTCTCGCCCACGCGAGACAGTTTTCACTGTCTCGCCCCCGCGAGACAGTATTTACTGTCTCGCCGTGCGAGACAGAATTTACTGTCTCGTGTCTCGCGGGCCGAGACAGCAAACACTGTCTCGCCCGTCGAGACAGCAAAAGCTGTCTCGCGAACCTGTTTTCTGCCAACTGTTCTTGGAGGTTATAAATACCCTCCTAAGGCCATTTTTCCAGGGGGCTGATCATTGTGAGTACTTCAGAGCAATCCAGAGCAATCCAGAGCAGAGAGAGAGCAGAGGTGCTGATCTTACGGCCAATCCTTGAAATTGAGCTTTGACTTGATTTCAAGAAGAACGACTATCTTACATCGATAAGATATCGTTTCAATTTCTCACTTCGATAAACGAAGTCAGAATCATAAACCCCTCACGGTTCAATCAGAATCTGTGACTTGGTGGTCCACGAGTCAAAGCGCTCCCGGCACAGGCAAAGATCCCACGAAAGCAGTGATCCAAACAACGATCCTGCGTTTATTTTCTCAAGAGTTGTAATTTTCTTTTTGTTGTGTAAAAGAGTCTTATAAAAAGGCTGTTTTCTTTGAATTTATTGTAATCGACCGAAGATATAATGAATTCGACAACAAATTCGACTTTTGGCGAAAACAAACTGGCGACCACAGTGGGAGCCAACGGTCTCGCTGCCGAGACCGTCGTGTCGCAGCCAACCATCAAGATCCTGGTTGAATCAACGGTCGAGTACGAGTTCGACCAAGCGAAGTTCGAGGAGTATTTGTTATTCTCATCTGTAAAATCTTCTTCGCCTCGCAAATGCAGGAAGATTTCATCTTTGTCAAAGTTGTCAAACACTACAGATGAAGACTTTCGCTTAATTGTTGCTGAGAATTCTACTCGCAACCTCTCTGCTCATAATGACTCTTCTCCAGTTAAAGAGTCATTAAATCAAAGCCCGCCGGCATTGACGAAAAGAGCTCGTCAGAGACAACGCCAACGCCGTGCTCGCCAAATGGCTAAAGCCTTGGAACAAACCGACGGGGTTCGTTATCACGCGGACCTAAAGTCGAGGAGACATCGAGTGGTTCAGTTGTCTCAACAACCAATCACTCATATCTCTGCTAAAATAACGATGGAGGAATGGACTATTGTCAAAAGGACTCGTTCAACCCTCAAAGAACGTATACGAAAACGTCGTGCAAAAGCTGCTCTTATTTGTGCTCTCTCACAACAAAGACAAAAATGGAAGAAGGAAACAGTGACCAAAGAACCACCAAAATTCTGCCAAGTTTGGATTCCAAAAACTGGAGTTGTGCAAAATCAGCATTCGGAGCTCGTTAAGACTCCATACCCACAAGGGGGTGGTTCTAAACGTGCGACTCCCGACATAACCTTGGATCGTTCAAAGACAGCAATAAATTGTCCTGAGAATGCCAACAAGGTTTTACACCCTCAGAAAAAGACGCATTCACCAAAAGATATCGTCATACCTGGGAGGTCATGTCAACAAACGATACGATTTTTTGGCAATCATACCGATGAATCGTATTATCAACTTGGGGGTGTGAATAAATTTCGAAAAAGAATTATTCGCTCTCATTGTTCCTGTGCACGACTTATAAGATGGAATGGACACTCGTCAAAAGGGCTCGTTCGACCCTCAAAGAACATATACAAAAGCGTCGTGCAAACGCAACTCATGCCCGAGCTCTCCTACAACAAAGACAAGAAAGGGAGAAGGAAACGGTGACCGAAGAACCGCCAAAATTCTGCCAAGTTTGGATTCCAAAAACTAGAGTTGTGCAAAATCAGCATTCGGAGCCCGTTAAGACTCCATACCCACAAGGGGGTGGTTCTAGACGTGCGACTCCCGACATAACCTTGGATCGTTCAAAGACAAAAATAAATTGTCCTGAGAATGACAACAAGGTTTTACACCCTCAGAAGAAGACGCATTCACCAAAAGATATCGTCATACCTGGGAGGTCATGCCAACAAACGATACGATTTTTTGGCAATCATACCGATGAATCGTATTATCAAGTTGGGGGTGTGAATAAATTTCAAAAAAGAATTATTCGCTCTTATTGTTCCTGTGCACGACTTATAAGATCAGCTGTCCAAGATGATGAATTCCCTGAAGTCACCATCAACGTGGCTGATAAAAGAAAGTCTAAGTGGCATTCGAGTGAATCAAAACCCGACTTTTCCTCAGGAGGAAAAGTCAATTCAAGAATTGCCCGACGGAAGTCTCGACTCCGGCCAGGAGCTATCAGGAGAATGCATGAAGAGATGTCATCAGAGGATGAGCTCTCGGACACTTGTTCTGCGATCGCTTCGGATGATACATCATCTAGCATAGGACAAACCAGAGAAGTACTCACGATCACCTCTGATCAGTTTACTCA